TGCTGTGCTGCCGGAGCTGGAGGCATCCTGTCAAGACCACTGAGGGCGGCGCTCAGTTCTCATCAGGAAGAAACTCTTCATCTCTCACGAATCCAAGGCTACCCTTGAAGATAGCCCTTCGAAATCAGTACCTGCGTTTTCAATGTTGAAATATAGAATAAGAAATGGAATAAGTAAGTAAAAACAGAAAGTTAGAACAAATATGAAATGAAAAGGAAAGGATGAGTTGCGGTGGTTCCTATTTTTGACTGAACTGATAGTGACTGGTAAGCGCTGATGTTGATAATCGACAGTCGCTGGTAACTGATATTAACCGGCTGCTGGATTTGACTAGTAGAATTCCTCCCCTGAGTAGGGAAATCGTGCTTATCCGCCTTTTGGACTTATTACCACCCACTCTTCGGGCTTATTACCACCCAGGAACCTCTGACAGGGAAGGAAACGTCAAAGAAACAACAGTCACCTGCCACCTGCATCACCTGTCTTCCTGTTGACCGCTGGGTGACTCTGGTCGGCCTTAATTTATAGCAGTGCAGTCCCGATGCAGCCCACTAGGCCCTGTGCGCTTGCTGAGCACAAAGTACGGCCCGAGATTCTTGAGAAGCTTTCCGGAGAGGTCTGACACTGGGCCAAAGGCTATCGTAGGATTCTTGTGAGATCCTGATACGAACGGTAATAGCTTGGATATATTTCGCGCAACAAATCAGGACTCAATTGGGTTCCAAGATTCCTTGCGCCAATGGGGTGTTATACTCAAGAGCTTAACTACTTCCAGGGTGAAGTTCCTGGCCGAAATTGCCACTGGGTGCGCACTTCTATCGAAATTTAGCCCAAATTTCGAATAGTGGGCATAAAGGATGAATAGCGCTAACGCCCACAAAACTCTGAGGAACAGGGACTCCGAGGGAGAGACTATCGTTTTCAGCTTTGAGGAGCCAAAAATTTTTTCAAGCATATTCCTTGAGAATTTCCGGACTTTGGTCAGATTCTGATGTGCTTAGGCATGCCCACTCGGGATGAATCAGGCCTTGATTTTGGCCCTCTATCCTTCAATCAATAACTCTAAGCTCTCAAACATCTTTTCATGTCAGAAGCGGAGTTCTTGAGCACCTAAAGGTGTTCCGTCCAAGTACTTGTGCCTAATCCGTCTCCTCTTATGCCATAAGAACGTCAAGCCAGGTGTCTAGAGCACTGGATGACCTCTTGTTTCCTCTCGTCGTTGAGTGTCATTCGGCATGGGCAACCGCGCCGTTGCTGCTGTCGCGCTGCCGCACGGACTCTTCCGCTATTAACCCGCGCTAGAAATGGCTATGCTGGCGAGCTGAGATTGTGCGAGGAGGAAGTCTCAAGGGAGAGCGATTACTGAAGGAGTGCTTGGAAATTCAATCAGGGAAGTGAGTTTTTCTCACATAGTAAAAAAGACTGAACGCTCCAGTAATTTAGAGCATCTCTTCAGTCTACGCAGCAAAACAGCTACGACGGCTGGAACTGGGGTCTTATTAAGTGCTAGAGTATCCGGCAAAGTCCCGAAGGTCCACTTCCCTAAGTCATGTCAGGCAAACTAAACTTGTTGAAAATGGTTTCAAATGCTTGGAATAAAAAAGCTCGAATGTTGTTTAGGCGATGATCAACTTTTCTGGGATGAGCCATACAGGCGGTTTCTATTCAGGATTGCAGAGGGATTTAAAGGCATAGGTGATTTAGATGATCGTCAGTCTGTCCTCGCACGTTATTTGATGCTCCTGATACCACTTATTTCTTCATGGAGGGGTGAAATGCCCGGTCAACCTGGCC